TCCACACCAAGCAAGGCATCAAGGCCACCTTGGACTTCATCAGCAGGACCAAGGTTGGCACAAGGAGGTAGCATCTTGGGCAGTCTTCAGAAGGCCTGGCATAGGCATGCTACACCAGCTTCTCTTTCCTTTGTTTGTTTGTTTTGTACTTCTTTTGTTTCCAGCATCTTTGCTCTGGGCCTGAGCCCTCACTATCCCTTGTACCTGCATTGACCTCACTCTTATGTAACTAAATTTTTGCATTACCAGAGGAGCTACTGCTCCTCTTGTCTTCCATAGTCTTAGACTCAGATAGGACGTTAAACCAATCAATCAATCAATCAATCAATGACTGTGATATATACATCATGTATTTCGCCTTCCGATGACGTTCTGCCCATCACTACAGGAACGGCTACTTTTTTCAATTCGCTCCTTTTAGACAGCAGCAGCAATGTGGTTATCCAGAAGAGCACCAATGTCACCAACAAAAATACTCAAAATAAAACAAGCTCCTCCGAACGCGATGGAAATCCAGTATGGCCATCGATATGCAAGTGAAAAGGCTTCCTGCGCGCTCGCGATAATAAGGTCATAGGCGTTCCTGTTCAGAACCAAAGGGTTTGTCGCAAGAACCTCGCGCAGCTGGTCGAACTGAGCGTTTGCGACAAGCTCCGTCATGTGCTTGATAAGCGCCAACCCTTCAGCTCTAAATGGATTGACAATGGCGTTTCCAGCGATAGTCTTTGTAGCGACGATCTCGGTTGCATAGATAGTGACCTTGTGGTAAAAGAGGTTGGAGGCTACTGCAAATGTGATAGCACCACCAACATAACGCAAACTGAGCGTGATGGCGGTCACTGTAGCGATAAGCTCATCTGGACAGGCGATTTGAGCTATGATGGAACACGGGATAATAACACCTCCGACACCGAGAGATGCTAGAGTGACAAGGCCGTACATGGTGTTGAGGTTTTGTGGTGCTGAGATGGACATGGCACCGGTGCCAGCAGTCATCACGGCCGTGAAGAAGAGGAGCAACAAGCGGATGCGACCCTTGGTGACTGGAATGAGAATCAAACAGATTGCGGCGCCAACAATGATACCGAATCCGATGGGAAGGGATCGAATACCAACACCAATCGGGTCGTTACCTAGGCACAGTCAGCATGTACTCCATATTGAATGATGACTCGACTTGCCATAGACGTTGTAGATCTGTGTAGGCCAGAAGAGCAGCAAGACGAAAAAGTTTCCACCGCTGAGCCAGGTGATTAAAAGAATGATGATCATAGTTTTCTTGGCTTTCTTGAATAATGCACGCGGAACCATGGGATGCGAAGCGAAGAATTCCCACACGAAAAAGGCACCGATCATTACAAGGCCAATAACGAGGGGCACAATGTTGTGCACGCTTCCCCAAACATACTGATCGTGTTAGCTCATGTTGAGAATCATGTCATTGAGGGTGGCTTACCTGAGAGGCGCCCCACTGCAGACCCATCATGAAGCAAGTGATACCACCAATGCTGAGAACACCACCAATATAATCGATACGTTTGAGGACGTGGGTTGCAGTGTACTCGGCAGTAAGTCGAGAAGGATCATGGTAGCAGAACACGCAGAGGAGAAGACCGATAAAGTTCCAGATGCCAACGAGGATACCGTTGTAGCGCCAGTTACTAGCTCTAGCGATGAGCTGAGCGTACAGCACCGAAGGGCAGAAGGGCAGAATGGTCAAGACGACGAGACCGACGTACTTGCCACGGTCCTTGACGGGCACAACCTCAGCTGTTCCAGCGAGCGCAATGAGTTCGTTAAGACCAGCACCGATTCCGGAGAAGACATTGCCAGCTGGATCAGTTAGCAAAGGGGTATCCACGAGATTAGTCATTTACATACCAATAGCAATGCTCATCGAGTTCGCTGTTGCAGTGATGATGGGACCCACGATGAGACACACCTGTCCAACGATGGCGACCTTCTGGCGACCGAACAAATCCGAAAGCGCACCCACAAACGGACAGAGGGCGGCATTAGGAATGAGGTAACCAATAACGAACCAAACCCATTTATCTACACCGCCGATGTCGTTGTAGATGAGAGGCAGTACGGAACCAAACAAAAACAGTGGAATTTGCGAGCCGATCCATAGGAAGGACATGCACAGCAGGGTCATGAAGAGCTTGCCATTCATCTGCAGCCATCTGTCAGTCAACATACATCCTCGTTCACCGCTCAACTTACCTTCTCATGAACAGTTGGCCCTCTGCTGACTGTTGGAGCCAGAGCCAATTGCTCGCCCTTCTCAATTTCACTGGGCGGCGTGCGGTCCTGCCACTCACGATGGGTAGCATGGTCGCCCGTCTTCTCGAGATCACGAACATCGGTATCGTGAGGGTCATGCCCAGGTGTTTGCATTGCATGTCCCATGATGTTTGAGGCGTCTTGTCGAGTGATTGGAACGCGGGTAGGTGGTGAAACGTTACGAAGAAGGTTTGACAGACGCAGGCCCCTCATCCACAGGACTGTGCACGCGCGGCGCAGGTCTATATCCTCAAACGGACTTGGTTTTCAGGTACGCTACCATCACTGAATCGAAATTAAATTGCAAACAAGCCGCGGCAAGTGGTCACAATGTACGCATCCTGCGCGGGGCCAGTCTTGCCAAGCCTTGATAGACGCGGAGCGAGGCTGGGTGCCAGCCAAAGAACAGCGATCAATTTACGCCTGACGATCGGGAGCTGGAGCATTCGTGGGTAGCGCTTGTTTAGATGCGGGGTCCCCGCACGGAGAATTCGCAAACCGAATTGATGGGTGCTAACAAAGGCGGGCAATCGGTCTGGCTCTCCACCCACCCACAACAGTATGCGCGTGTAAAGACATTCCGCGCGTTTCAAGTGAAAACGTTTTATTCTTTGTGGATTGTTGTTGGCCCAGCTTTCCCCTCGCTGACCGGGGCATGCGATGCAAGACGGTATTGCGCGGTATCGTTCGGTATGTTGCACTAGTGTATCTCACAACAATTTGCTCGATGTGAGTCTTGCGATGGTGATTTGGAACTCACCGCCGACCGAGGCATCGAGGTATCGAAATCAATATTCATTGGCTAAGAGCGCTTCCTTCTCATTGCTAGAGGGATAGACCGCAGGAACACTCTAGGAGTCGCCTCGAATTGAGCGCGCCGTTTGCTGGTCCATCGAGATAGACTAATGGAACTAGCCTGCTCCCGAACGTATCCACCGTAATGGGCGCCGCGCCAGCGGCCGCCATCTTCCTTTATAGCGATAGCCGCGAGCTATAGTCAAACTCACGACTCTTATCCTGCCGTGGCGTTCCGGTGTGCGTCTTCACGTGAGCGTCCCATGAACGTTGTGTTCAATGGAGGCTCCTTTGTTGTGGTAATAGTTCGAATAATAGCGACTTTATGGAGGAGTAGCGTTGTCGCGCGCTATGTCTACTACCAGTAGAGTGTTACTGCTGCGCGTGCCTGAATTGAAAATCGCAGAACCCGTTCGAGTGAAGGCATCGAACTGGTTGCAATGGTGTTATCTTGAGGTGTATCCGTCTCCTTTCTTGAATCAACGACCAACCGCAATTACCTGACCGAACCTCGGTGACGAAAAGTCAAACCTTGATGTCGGAATTTTATGCAGCGCTAGTCATGTTGCCATGCGATAGCGAAGGGGACCTGTTCTCGTGAAAGTAACACAAGCTCGGCGTCATAGTAGATCGAAGCTGAGCTATGTCTATCTGCGGTCGTACAACAGGGCGCCATGGCGAGAAATGAATTTTGATCGTGTTTTACGGACAAACGAGATGAGTATCCTGGTAAGATATATTCACAGTGGGAAGTTTTTGCTGGTTTTGCTCTTTTTGATGGTCGTATTTCGATCTGTGTACCAAGTGAATGGCTGATCGTCAGTGCTAGGCTTGTATCTTGGGATAACGGCGTCATGGTACGCACGTGCAATAGTATAGCATGCAGGAGGAACCGAAGTCAGCTTGTCGATCCGTGATGGAGCTCTGGCTGAGCACCTAAAGGATACAATTAGTAAAGGCCACGGCAGGTTCCAGCCATATGCGTCGCCGTATATCATACAGACTGATGTCGTAGCCATTCAAAATACAGTATGAAGAATTAAGTTCAACACCTTCGGTTGCTAAGACATTGTCCGAGCATGTTATGTAGTGTACGTATGAATTGTTGCGTGGGTCGATCAACGCTATTCGAGGAACATTGATCAATGCAGACGATGCCATAACTGCCTTGAACAACAAGACAATCACCGGCGCAGCGCTGCGCCATCAAGTTGTGATCAAAGTCCTTTCAACGTCCTGGGCTACCATTCTGGAAAGACAGAAGTCGATTCATTCTGCGGAACTGGTCAACAAGGTACAAAGGTAGGTCAATCTTACTGTGCAATGTTATATACGTACTTTCACTATTTCAGTATTCTAGGAATCGCGTATTTCATACCTTAAAGAGCTGATTGCAAGACTGATAGTCGTACGGTTTCTTGAGAGCCAGCTTGTTTGGAAAGTCTGCTGCGTTCGCACTATCCAGGGCAACGTATGGAATAAAGGCGAACGTATGCTCCCTTCTGGATATCGCAGTCGAAGTGTAGCGCTCCTCTTGAGGGAAAACCATCTGCGGCCACGCCAATTGACCATGATCAGTCGATCGGTTCGTGAATGGCGCCTTGAAGCACATGACGTTCATGATGGCTGGAACAAGCGAATGACTACACCTCTATCAAGCGTTCTTCTCGTAGGAATCTTGCTTGCTCGGGGGCGCGAGGTCGAAGTTGCGTGCTGACAGAAGAAAGAGCCGACACCAAAATGCTTGGCGGAACTCAACTAACCCACGCCCCATACAAACAGTTCACAACATGTTGCTGTTGTAATAACCTATTATCCGCCCATCCATATCCTGCCAGTCTTGCAGTCTTTGGGGTATATTATCTATCCGTTGATTGAAAAAATCTTGAAGAACTTGGTCATTCCAGCCCTCATAGGCAAGCTCTCTGGCCTCAAATCCATCCCAATGAGGAAAATTCTTGAGATATTGCTTTACAGGCTGCCAGCAGTTCTCAATCGGGGATAGGTCTGGTGAGTTGGGGCATTTGGAGAAGTAGTTGAGCCCAGTTTTCCGCTTCCACGTAGCCAAAATTAGATTCGTTATCCAGAACATGGGATCTCTGGTCTGACAAACGAGATGAACAGTGGCTCCGCGGTGATGAGCAGCACGTTGTTCGTTGAGTGAGATGAGATGAGATGCTGCATGCTTTTGGAGTGGTCGTTGATCGTCTCTCATGTTAGTGAATAAGATTAGCTTTCGTGTGGCGGCGACGATCGAAAACGGTCGAAGCTTGCACGCGCAGCTGAAGAGCCGGCGGCATGGTTATCGACAAAGACGTTGGAAAGCTTCACGTGTTCGCTAACAATGCACTATGTTGCGTATGATGCTCGTCTGCACGTTCATGTCTATCAGAGGTTCCTCAAGTTGTGTGCAACGCAATCTTGCTGGATGACTGCCGTCTCTGCACTTTTTGCTCATTGCCGTTTGTCTCGTTTCTCGTCGAGTATCGTTGGCCTTTGCCAATCTATGACTCCTTCAGCTTGTCCTCGATATCGTCCAGGTCTTCAGCGCTGTCAATCTCGATGATTTTGTTGACCTCTGCTGTGTTCCTCATCAATTCCTTGGCACCGGCGTATAGCATCTTGACCTCGCTATTGCATGTGATCGGCAGGTAGTACAGCATGACGTAGGGTACGGATAAGCGACCAGAGTCCTGGTTAAGTCAGTGAAGTCCTCCCCTTGAGTAGTTCTCTGCGAAACATACGAGTGTAAGAGGATAACTGAGCAACACAAATCTTGGTGCATGGTCAGGGAGCTCGTCTGCCACAGATGCGACGTCTGAGTATATCTCATCGTCGACAGGTTTGATCTCCAGTGTCTTCTTATCGATCTCGTCTGAACGGCGCCGGCATCAGCCTTGCACTGGGTCTGGAAGAGGGAGGCGCATAGCGGCTAGGGATGCGAGAAAATCGTACAGATGACAGCCTGGGGATCTTTGGCGCGCGATGTGCCTAGCCTGAACTTGCGTAGCTTCGTCTTCGTCTCCGTTGAGAAGGTGTAGAGCCGCGACTCGGACGCCTGGTGCAAACGTTAGAAAGTAGGTGCAGCAAGGGAGGACACGGGACTTGCCATGCTGTTGGGTGTCTGAGGTCTAGCACTTATGGGCTAGAAACAGGAAGTAATTTGTGGTCGTGTTTCGTGTGTTATCGTAGTGGTGTAGGGCTGAAGAAGCTTGACGGCGGTTTGGCGCGAAGGTGGGGTCTGGGGACGTGAGGAGACGCGCTAGTGACATTACTGCAATCATGTCTATCTCATTTCTGCAAGACCCTTCATTCTTCAAGGTTGCTAACTACTCATTGGCTTTGAAATTGACCCTTGTTACAGTCTCATGTTCAGCCGGCTCAACCAGGTTGTTCGACACCTATCACGTCCAATACCAAACTTTGCACACTCGTCCGCGGCGAGGATTGGAGCTCCATCAATCACGTCATCGATCATGGCAAGTACAACACCACAGCAAAAAGGACTGATCCACACGGCTGCGTGTCTGGTTATCGGAGATGAAGTGCTTGGTGGCAAGGTATGTTGATAGAAGTCTCAAACTCTGATAGCTATAATTGCTAACGTGCATGTATTAGACTGTAGACACCAATTCAGTAAGCTACTGCATACACGACCATTAAGCATCAATTGATTGTTTCAGGCGTACTTCGCCAAGTGGTGCTTCTCTTTGGGAATCAATCTTCGCCGTGTCGAGGTCATCGCCGACGATGAAGCAGAAATCGTTGAAGCTGTCCAACGCATGTCCAACAACTATGACTTCGTTGTCACGAGTGGAGGCATTGGCCCAACGTATGTTGTCCGAGTAAGCCTGTATTAGATGCGCTAACACAACAGCACAGACACGACGACATTACCTACCAATCAATAGCTAAGGCCTTTGGCCTGCAGTTGAAGCTGCATGACGCAGCTTATGAGCGTATGAAGCGCCTTTCCAAGCCACACAAGTCACAGCCAAACTTTGACTGGAATGTGCCTTCAGCCGCACTTACAGCCAAGAAGCGCATGGTTGAATTACCCATTAATGATGCGGTACCTGATGAGGATCAGGTTATCTTTGTCAATGAGACTTTGTGGGTGCCTGTGAGTTGTGTCAATGGCAATGTTCACATCTTACCCGGCGTTCCCAGGTTGTTCGAAGCTATGATCGATGGTATGAAGCCTCACATTGTACCACGTTTGACGGATCCAGAGGGCAATGGCGTGCTGCGTGTTCTCATCTCGACGCCTCTGGCCGAAAGTGCTGTCGCTGGGTACTTGACGGAGCTGGCAGCCAAGACAGAACCAAGAGGTGTCAAGGTGGGCAGCTACCCCCGATGGGGCAAAGACCACAATACGGTGACACTCGTTGGTCGCGATGTTGAGTTCATCGAGAGCCTGGTTCCAGAGGTTGAGAAGAACGTGGATGGCAAGCGTGTGGAAGTTGAAGGCCAGGACGATGGTAACACATCAGACAAGGACACATAGTGAGCCAGTTGGGAGGTAGCCGAGTGTACACAGTGGAGATCTTCCAATGTAACATGACATGTTGTTGGTTTTAGTATGCGTGAACGCGTTGGGTTGCGTCAAAGAAATGTCAGCGTGTTCTTAGATTCAGGGGTCAGGCTTCGAGAAGCCTGCACAGAAGGTGAGCCGCGTCCCACTTTATCAGAGCAGTGCCGAGGCCAATGGGTCTCATACTCTGATAACACCATCTTGATTGTGCGATAGAAGTGGTATGATGCGTAAAGAAATTGCTTCTTTAATTTCCAGGTGTGCTCGCCTGTCACCGCCAGACGTGGTGACAAGCAACGTGGTGATGGCGGTCGTGCATCTAAGTGTGATGCTGTACCACAATGTGCGTTTTCAAAAGTCGCCTGTGGCTCTCGTACGCGCCGTATGGCACAGGGTAGAGTGCGCCCTGGATGCCCACGACGTCGTGCATTGCAGCGTGCTCGCGATCCAAGACTGCCCGTGCCGCAATGGAGAAAGCATAGATCGCAGGAGAGACGTTCCCTAGAACCGCCGCTTTAACCGCAAACTAGAAGCTGCATCCTTCCACCGTACAGCGCGATCAAAGTGCTGTACCTGTACCTGGGTGCGCTGCACGTGAATATCAGATGCATCTGTGTGATCGCAAGTGGACACACCGGCGGCATGGCTTGCAGCACCTGCATTTGCCTGACTGGTGTGGAGAACTCTGTTCGATGGTTGTGCGCTTAGACCAAGCGCCAAGTGGGCCGTATGTCTCAAAAGGATTAGGGCCTTTTTGAGCGCAACCCGAACGACGAACTCTCTCATCTCCTCTACAACATTGCAACCGGTATCTCCTGGCTCAAGCAATTGCACGGCGTCTCTCTGCCCGGATATCCATCTCGAGCGCGCCTGTCGTCATCACTGTTGCGCTCATTTGCCTTGCGCGTGCCTCAGTCCTCCCTTGGTGTTCCTAGCAGTGGCCAGTTCCCTGCCTCCTCATTTCGATTCTCAGCAACCCTCACAACCCCAACATCAACACCGGCGATGGCATCCAAATTTTTGCGCGAGTACAAGCTCGTAGTTGTTGGAGGAGGTGGAGTGGGCAAGAGTTGCCTGACTATACAGCTTATTCAGAGTCATTTCGTCGACGAGTATGATCCTACGATTGAGGGTGAGTTTATCTGCTTTTGCACGATCAACATTTGTGGAGAGGCTTTATGAGCATTGACTGACATCTGACAGATTCGTACCGTAAGCAGTGTGTTATCGATGATGAGGTTGCCCTCCTCGATGTTCTCGACACAGCTGGCCAGGAGGAGTACTCTGCGATGCGTGAGCAGTACATGAGGACCGGCGAGGGCTTCTTGCTTGTCTACTCGATAACCGACAGGCAGAGCTTTGAGGAGATCATGACGTTCCAGCAACAAATCCTGCGTGTGAAGGACAAGGACTATTTCCCCATGATTGTTGTTGGAAACAAGTGCGATCTTGACGGCGAGAGGCAGGTGTCAACACAAGGTACGCCATGTTTCACTCTGCATTCCAACCCTCTTTGCTGACCCCTCCATTAGAGGGCCAGAACTTGGCACGACAGTTTGGCTGCAAGTTCATCGAGACCTCGGCGAAATCACGCATCAACGTCGACAACGCATTCTACGACATTGTACGAGAGATCCGCAGATACAACAAGGAGATGTCCTCATACACAGGCGCACCGTCTGGCGCACAGGGCCAGAATGGCATCGCCAAGATGGGCGTCGAGGACGACACAGAGAAGAAGGGCGGCTGCTGCGGATGCACAGTAATGTAAAGAGCTGGAGACGACGTTGTTGTTGCACACGATACGAAGAGAGTTGAAAGATACCTGCCTACCGTTCGGCACCTCCACCATGCCCCATAGCCGGTGCCGTCGAGGCTTCCAGAGGGGACACGCGATACCATTAGCACGTACTGCCATTTAAATTCCACGGACGAGCCATGCGCTTGAACCGTGCTTCTTTTCGACACTTTCTTTTGGGTTCGCTTTAGGGCTCGGTGTTGAACAACGGCATAATACTGGCGCTCAAGCTTTTGATACGGCAGCGCCTGCGAGATCTAGACTTATCATTTCTTTACGGCATATCAGTACGTTTTGTACACCTGTATTTCCTTACTCAGCTATTCGAAGATGCCATGTTGGGTAGGACGCGGCATGCGTCTTGGAACGACCTGCAAAAGATATCATTTCTTTGCTTCCTTTTTCTTAGTCAACTTATCAGCACTTTAACTTCTATGAACATAATTCATCTCTATCATTACGACGTTTACTTTGCTTGTTTCGTCAGCACTATCTTGCGCAGCATGCACCGTGCAGCACGCAAACATGGAGTAACACTTAACCCCAGAACGACTTGAAGCAATCCATTACTCCTTTCCTTACCTTGGCAACTACCCCATCGACCCGAGCAGCCGTGGGGATCGTCAGAGCTAGAAACATCTTGAGTCGTTCGTCTCGAACGCGCAATGTTTGCCCAAGCGCTGCAATTGGAGGAAATCGCGGAGGTCGTCACGCACGGCCGTTTCAGGGACAATCCCCGGGTGATCTGGAAAAGAGGGGTCCGGATCGAATTGTCATTTGATCAAGAGCCTTAGCAAATATAGCCTGATATTCATCGCGATGAACTGGGCGCGCGATAATGCGAAGTTCGGTGTTCAGGGAAGAAGCGCCTGGAGGTGTGGCGAAAGGGTTCAGATACAGCAAGAGCACGCGGCTCGCTACTGCCGAGCTTCGTACCTTCCCAAAGACTGACACATGGGAGGTGCAACACAGCACAACAACACCACTTCTGGGTTTTGACCACTATATATCGTTATCAGATTGTTGACAAGCCTGCGCTGTTGCTCGAATAGGCAGTTTCTTACGACCCTCTCCGGCAACACACGTCCACAACATCTGCATCTGGCTCGAAAGCCGTGTGTTTACACTTAGCTGCTACACAACAGCGGCAAGAACGAACAGCAGCCTACGTACAGCTATCGAGCGCACATGGAACGACCACGGCAGTCGAGCTTTGCCGAAGTGTGAACCATGCATGGGTGACATCTCGCCTAGGTCGACTGACTACTAATGGTAAGGTCTATACGACACAAGACGCAGACATGAGGAACCACGACCATGCCAAAGCATACGGTTTGCCCTACACTGCTCGATTGACGATTGTCATTCGAAGATATTAAGGGTCGCACTTGCCTGACCCCATCCGTGCGCCTTCCGCGGCCCTCGGAATGTGGAGGGGTTGATCGACCGAACCGCATCTCCTTCACAGTGCATGAACCTTGCCGTTTGTTTCATACCTTCCCAGAGATACGGAGAGTTACATGGGATTGATGTCAATGGAGGTACAAGGGATGGTGAGGGCTCAGGCCCAGAGCAAAGATGCAGGTGTTGAAGTCGTGTCTTAAGCAAAGCTCGTAGACACTATTCGATTGGTTCTCGGGGATGAGCAGAGGTACAGAAAGCCGTTGGGGGTTGGTTATCACTGAGCGAGCTCGGAGCGGCAGAGGTTTGACCGTGATAAATCGCCGTGATAAATCGCCGTGATAAATCGCCGTGATAATC